CCCGGCCCCGGCCGCCGCCGCCGCCGCCAACGCGGCCCAAGCGGCGCCGCAGCAGCCCGAGGAGGGCGCGGGCGCGGGCCCCGGCGCGTGCAGCCTGCACCTGAGCGAGCGCGCCGACTGGCAGTACTCGCAGCGCGAGCTGGACGCCGTCGAGGTCTTCTTCTCGCGCACGGCCCGCGACAACCGGCTGGGCTGCATGTTCGTGCGCTGCGCGCCCTCCAGCCGCTACACGCTGCTCTTCTCGCACGGCAACGCCGTGGACCTGGGCCAGATGTGCAGCTTCTACATCGGCCTGGGCTCGCGCATCAACTGCAACATCTTCTCCTACGACTACTCGGGCTACGGCGTCAGCTCGGGCAAGCCCTCCGAGAAGAACCTCTACGCCGACATCGACGCCGCGTGGCAGGCGCTGCGCACCCGGTGAGCGGGCGGGGGTCGCGGGCCTGGCGCGCAGGCCGGGTGGCGGAGGGGGCCTCTGGGGCCTCTGGGCGGCCTGCGGGGACCGGGGCTCCTCCTCCGGCGCTGCGGGCGAGCGGAGAGCTCCGGGCCTGCTTCCATCCCCTCCGAAAACCCGCGGTCCGCAGGTTCTTGGAGAGCCCAGACTCGGAGGATTTCGCACGCCTGGGCGCCACTGGCCCACCGGCTGGGCTTTTGCGGTTACCGCAAGTGGCAGCGTGTGGGTGCTTCAGTACGGGGCAGAGGGCAACGACTCGGTTGTCCTTCGTTTGTGTGAGCCGACCCAGAGACTGCAGGTCCTCAGGCCGTCGTGACCTTGGCAAGGCACAGACAGGAGTCTCTAGACCTCAGTTTCCTTCCCTGTAGGGTCCGTGGGTGTGACAGGATGACCTCTACCCGACTTTTCGGTTGTAAAGTGCCCGCAGGCGTCGTCTGGGCAGCCTTGGAGGCAGCTGGAGGGTCGGATGGTCGAGGAGTTTGCCTCCTGGTGGGGCAGAGTAGCTGGCTGCTGGCTGTTGGCCTCAGTAACAGCCCAGGATAAGTTTGAAGCCTGCAGGGTGTAGGGGAATCTCTTGACCTTGAATTAGCATGCAAAGGGCTGCAGAGTATTTACAGAGGAGGGCCTTTTACATTCCAGGCACAAATTGGGGGCATGGTTTAGGGGTTAGACCTGGTGAAATGAGCAAACAAAAAAACTTGGGTTTTATTCTTGGTTAGACAAAGGCCTGGGAAGTGGGCAAGTCTGGTCACCTGTTTGTGCTCCAGTTAGGGTGTCTGTGACCTTTCCCACCTACCTCGTAGCAGCGGCGGTGAAAACACCTGGGGTCATGTCTATAATGAGATGTGGTTTCTTCAGATGAAGCAGTCCCCATAGTAAGTACAACATGCATTATTGTCACTGTGGACCCTTATATAGTTTTTGTCTATAACCTATTTGCTCTCATGCACAGAGCTGGCATTAATGATTTTTCCATTCATGTTTGTATGTGTATGCTTATGTTCATAAATTACCCCTTGCCTGTCTGGGAAAGTGGCTTGGCCGACAGGGCCGTGCTTAGTGTTTAATATACCTTGCATGTTTATGTTCTCCTAAAGTCCGGAAGGAGTTGCCCTCATTTGGGTTGCAGCTTTTCAAAAGTGGCATAGGCAGATGAGAATGTATCATATGCAGATGTATTGGGTCAGAATTCCCAAGCAGTTGCAAGCCACCTGTTCCAGTAAAGGGTTTCAGAAGTATGTGTCATACACAATCAATAGATTGCCAGAGTTTGCTGTTGGTAAAGGTATTAAAAATAAGGTCGGCATTAGGTCTTTTTAAAGGGAAACATGAAAATCCTACCTTGAGTAGATTTTATTTAAAAATTTTTGTAGAATGTTGGTCCTCTGTGTGCGTGTCTGCATTAGAACGAAAGCCTGTGGCAGGGCTAATCCTTTGCCCTGAATATGCAGGTGTGGCCGGGTTGCAACATATGTGAGGCGTAGTTATTTCCTGGAGACTTTTTTATCATACTGAGTTGAATTAAAGGGCATTGCTTTGGATAATGTTGAATTTTATATTACCTCATGGTATATCTAAGCCCATGGTTTGTTTAATATTATGTCAGAACTCTTGTCGAAATTGATTTATTTGCCGTAAAATAGATTAGAATTTAAAAGCTAAATGAGAATCTTAGAATATGAAGAAACTTAGAAAACCTCTTGTCCTATGCTTTTCAATCTATTTTGACTATGACCCCACAGTGAGAAACACATGTTAACCGGGTGCAGTGGCTCACGCCTGTAATCCTAGCACTCTGGGAGGCTAAGGTGGGAGGATTGCTTGAGCTCAGGAGTTCGAGGCCAGCCTCAGCAAAAGCGAGACCCCCATCTCTACTAAAACTAGAAAAATTAGCCAGGAGTGGTGGCGCACACCTGTAGTCCCAGCTACATGGGAGGCTGAGGCAGGAGGATCGCTTGAGCCCAGGGGTTTGAGGTTGCTGTGAGCTATGATGACGCCACTGCATTCTAGCCAGGGCAACAGAACAAGATTCTGTCTCAAAAAAGAAAAAAAAAAAATGAAACACATTTTACATCTTGATCAAGCCCACACATACACATTTGTATCTATATATTGGAAACAAATGTTTCACAAAACAGTATTTATTCTGTGGGCAGTGCACTTAGCAGAACATGTTATGCTTTATTTCACTTTAAAAAAAAAAGGCAAGGCTGGTTGGGAACTGCTAAGCTCATGTTCCAACATACTTGTGGACCCGGCTCGTGCTCACCCACCTCACCCGAGTTCTACGGGGAACCAGCAGTCGGTCTTGTGGCTTCCAGTTTAGTGCTGTTCCGCTGCACCGCCCAGTCATTTTTACCAGGTGTCTCAAGAGGCGCATTTGTTATTCTACCACAGAGGAGTCACCCGATTGCGAAGCCGACGGCTGCCTTAACCGCCTTCCTTCAGCCGCACCCTGGGTGTTCTGCGTGGTTCTGCTCTGGTCTTGCCAGGGACACACCTGTGCTCTGCCCAGTCACGGCCCCTTTCAGGTGGCCGCCATGGCAGGAGCGTCATCTGCCCAGGCCCCCGTTCTTCTGTGGCTGGGTCGGACCCTCTTTTGTACCCCCCAACCCCCTCGTCTTCTTTGGGGATCTCTCTCTTTTCGGACCTGGTCAGCCACGCTCCTCAGGACACTGGTGGGAGAGCCTGGTCCTGAGTCATCCCCGTCCCTGTACTGGGATTGTCCCCCGGGAGGGCTGCGAGGTGTGTGGCAGCGCCCCGCAGCCCCGAGCACCAGGCCAGGACTTTGCCCTCTCTCCTCACGTTCCCGTCTGGCCTTTTGTACGTGCCCTTCTGCTGTGCAGGAAACACTGGGTCCTGACGGGACCCTGGCTGGATCAGGGGACCCTTCGTGTTCCCCGTGCCGGGGTGCCGGCTCCTCTGCTTGCAGTCATCACAATGTTGCTGTCTGTGTCCCCACTAAATTGCCAGAGCCTTGAGGACAAGGACTCTATGTCTCCTCTATTCCCAACAGTTGCTGGCAAAGTGTCTTAAAATAATAGGCGCTCATGAAATATTTGTTTAATGAGTTGCACACATGGGTGCCCCATCAATAAATGGGATAAATTCAATTTTTCCTAAATTGAACTCTTACAAAGACTTGGGTCTTATTTTACCTTCAGGGTGTAGTATCCGCGGGTACAACCACAGACACAAAGGGGTTCAGACGTATTGACTTGAGGTCTGGCCCACTTTGAGTCCATTATACTGGTGTTGCAGTGATATTGAAATATCCGTATTGAACAGAAGAGTAATAACAATCCTTCCTTAGTATTCGTCTTTGCCCTTTCTCCATTACCTGAGCCGGCTCCTGTGCGTGCCGCAGGGAGCTGCCCAGCCCTTCACAGGCACTCCAGACACAAGGGCCCGCCAATGTGCACACCCACATGCGTGGTACAGGCCACGAGTCCCCTCAAATGATGAGTCAAAGTGGGCAAGTAATCTAGAATGAGGGTTTCAGGAGGAAGCAAATTGAGAGGTGAAACCCTAGGATTTCTACCTGAGTTTGATTAGGCAAAAGAGAAACAGAACATGTTGTGAATAGTTTGACATAAGGCGAAAGCACGATGATATTTCTAGAAAGGAAGTAGCATGTTGGCTTGCAGCTGAAGACGGCCGCCATGTGAGCATCCCATGAGGAAGAACGGAACTCTCAGAACAGACTCGTTGAAACCGAAGTAGGCCGCGTGTCCTTTGGGTCCACTTAGAGCCCTTCTCCTCCGCGTACCTTCTCCCTTCCTCCAGGTGCTCTCTTGCCGTGCCGGCTCTGCAGGCTCCCTGGCTGTGCCATCAGGCTGGTTTTTCTGTGGCAGGACCAGAATCTGAGCTGCATCCCGCCAAAACTTACTTATTTGTGGTTCTTTTCCGAGGGACCTTGCTTGCCTCTAGTAATACAGTTGCAAGAGATCTGACACTGTTTAATTTTCCGCGTTAATGGTCAATAACTCCGTAATGTATTCTCTCCCGAGCACGTTTGTTTTTATCGAGGATACTCTTGGAGGCTCAGTCTTAACGAAAATTCGGCCTTAAAACCCTGATGGTGCCGTGGCATATTGGTGGAGGAAGCATTTCATCGATGTAAGTCACTTCAGTCATACTGTCCTGGGGTTACTTAGAGCTTGCTTTTAGTAAGGTCACTGCCTACCTTCTATTCCCGCTTCTACTCCTCACTCTCTCTCCAAATTTAGTAACTTCTCTGCTCTGTTCAGTATTGATAATCCCACTTAAGACTCAGAAATCTGGCTTTAGGAATTGCAGTGTTCATTTTGGTAGCAGCTTTACTCTCTGCACGGGATTTCGCTCAGGCTTCTGTTGAAACCATAAATCTGCTCCACTTCGAGAAGCCCTATGTACAGAATCCAAAACATAAACACACACGCACGCAGTAGATCATTATTTGGATAACAGGATTTTTTTTGTAGGATTGTTTCAAATCACAGGCTTCCTAATTTTGTCTGAAAGATGCGATTTACGAAGGTTTGACAAACACAAAACCTTTTGGACTAGGAGAATTAGTTCCAACTCCCGCACTCCCGCTAATTCGCTATGCCACTGTCTTAGTCAGTTCTGTGCTGCTCCAACAAAATTGCTGAGACTGGGTAGTTTATAAGGAAAAGAGGTTTCTTTCCCACAGTTCTGGAGGCTGGGAAGTCCAAGAGCACCGTGCTTGGCAGGCTTGGTGTCTGGGGAGGGCCCAGTCTCCTCTTCCAGGGTGGTGTCTGGAAGCTTCCTCCGGAGAAGAGCAGATGCTCCCCAAATAGCAGAAAAGCCAAAAGGGCAAGAGAGGGAGGGAGGGAGGGAGGGAAGAGGAGTGAGAAAGGAAGGGAGGGAGGGAAGAGGAGGGGAGACAGAGGTGCCACTTGCCCTTTTATGAAGAGCCCACTCTGAGCTAAGGCATTAGTGCATTCACAAGGACGGAGCCCTC